ACAAATCTAGTGATAAAAATAGTGTTATTATGGAGAATAATGAAAGTGATGGAGCACCCAACACGCCTGGTCCTGCAACAGATCCTGCTCAAGAGCCAGACAAAGCTGGTGATAATATAGAGCATAATGAAAGTGAAGGAGCGTCCAACACGCCTGGTCCTGCAACAGATCCTGCTCAAGAACCAGACAAATCTGGTGATAAAAATAGTGTTATTATGGAGAATAATGAAAGTGATGGAGCATCCAACACGCCTGGTCCTGCAACAGATCCTGCTGAAGAGCCAGATAAATCTAGTGATAATATAGAGAATTATGGAAATGAAGGAGCATCAAACACGCCTGGTCCTGCAACAGATCGTGCTCAAGAACCAGACAAATCTGGTGATAAAAATAGTGTCATTATGGAGAATAATGAAAGTGAGGGAGCACCCAACACGCCTGGTCCTGCAACAGATTCTGCTGAAGAGCCAGACAAATCTGGCGATAAAAATAGTGTTATGGATAATAATGAAAGTGAGGCAGCACCCAACACGCCTGGTCCTACAACAGATCCTGCTCAAGAGCCAGACAGATCTGGTGATAATATAGAGAATAATGGAAGTGAGGGAGCACCCAACACGCCTGGTCCTGCAACAGATCCTGCTCAAGAGCCAGACAAAGCTTGTGATAATATAGAGCATAATGGAATTGAAGGAGCATCCAACACGCCTGGTCCTGCAACAGATCCTGCTCAAGAACCAGACAAATCTGGCGATAATATAGAGAATAATGAAAGTGAAGGAGCATCCAACACGCCTGGTCCTGCAACAGATCCTGCTCAAGACCAGACAAATCTGGTGGTAATATAGAACATAATGAAAGTGAAGGAGCATCCAACACGCCTGGTCCTGCAACAGATCCTGCTCAAGAGCCAGACAAATCTGGTGATAATATAGAGAATAATGAAAGTGAAGGAGCATCCAACACGCCTGGTCCTGCAACAGATCCTGCTCAAGAACCAGACAAATCTGGTGATAATATAGAGCATAATGAAAGTGAAGGAGCATCCAACACGCCTGGTCCTGCAACAGATCCTGCTCAAGAACCAGACAAATCTAGTGATAAAAATAGTGTTATTATGGAGAATAATGAAAGTGATGGAGCATCCAACACGCCTGGTCCTGCAACAGATCCTGCTCAAGAACCAGACAAATCTGTTGATAATATAGATCATAATGAAAGTGAAAGAGCATCCAACACGCCTGGTCCTGCAACCGATCCTGCTCAAGAACCAGACAAATCTGGTGATAATATAGAGAATAATGGAAGTGAGGGAGCACCCAACACGCCTGGTCCTGCAACAGATCCTGCTCAAGAGCCAGACAAAGCTTGTGATAATATAGAGCATAATGGAAGTGAAGGAGCATCCAACACGCCTGGTCCTGCAACAGATCCTGCTCAAGAACCAGACAAATCTGGTGATAGTATAGAGCGTAATGAAAGTGAAGAAGCATCCAACACGCCTGGTCCTGCAACAGATCCTGCTCAAGAACCAGACAAATCTGGTGATAAAAATAGTGTTATTATGGAGAATAATGAAAGTGAAGGAGCACCCAACACGCCTGGTCCTGCAAAGACAGATCCTGCTCAAGGGCCAGAAAACCCTTTTGATAATATAGAGAATAATGTTGCACTTTGAGACATTGTTGCACGTTGTAGGAACAACGCTTTTGGTTAATATCCTTAATCGTAATCTAATCAAAACACAGTTCATTTTTAACTAAGGTTACATACGTCGTGTGGACATGTGAAAGCGGGATTGCCGTCACCTGCGCACGTGCCGAAAATTGAGTTCCAAGCGACGATAACAACCCACGCTAAGAATGCAAAGGCTCATAGGTAGACGCTTGTTTGTAAACAATGACACGCTATGGCCACCTGACTCGTACGTAGTTGACGACTCTCCCGCTTTTATTATAAGTTGTTATAAAATAAAATTAGTTTAGTAGATTCGAAAGGGGCAAGATAAAATATTTAGCTATCTTTTATAAAGTGTTTGCAGGAGGATTGTGATATGTGAACACGCCAACGACACAAACCCGACTTGAAGTTGAAATTGACCTGAGACGCAAATCGTCACTAGGATCTCTTTCACAGCTGGAGAGTCACGTGACTTGTTTTCGTTCCTCAAATACTGTTTTATTCTCTCCCGTCATTGCATTTATTAAGTTTAAATAGATCAGGTTAACGGGAGAAATGAAACACTATTTGAGGGAACAAGTCTCGTCTCGCTGTCAACGAGATTTAAACAGTCGGTTGCGTCTCTGCTATATATATGGTTATTCTACTTTATAAAAGTTGTTTTGTTCCACAGAAATTGTACATCTTTTCGATATTGCTTGGATAATGTTCTCTTTTTTTTCGCCGGGTATATTTTATTGTAACTTTGATAATTCCAGAAATATAACACTATTTTGTACTTTGCATTCAATAATCGTTAAAGAGATGTGATTTGACTATATTTCTGATCTTTGAAACAATTTGTGATGACACTTTTTGTAAAACGTTAACTATGTTGTATCGTCTGAATAGAGAAACTAATTAGTTTTCCCAGTTACATGAAGTATGATGTTTCGAATAAAATGTATTTTTCAAACTTTGTATATTTCTTTCCGTTATGATCACAATTCGCACTTTCAATGTACTT